CACAAATTTAAACCAATAATTTGGTGGTGTTTTATTGATAACGTATTCTCCATTTACAGTCATGGCGAACAAAAGCTTGATGATTTTTTTATCTTATCTGAACAATAAACAACCAACAAATAAATTCACTATTGAAAAGGAGCAAAATGACCAAATTCCTTTTCGCGATATACTGAAATCTGAAAAGTAAGACTATCTTCAAAACTGAAAATACAATTAGAAGCAAAATTTCAGTTAAAAAACCTCATGACAAAATTAAAAATACAAAAAGTATAATGTATAAAATTTCTTGCGAATGCAATAAAATATATATCGGAAAAACCTCAAGACCATTACATAAAAGAATCAAACAACATCAATCATATATAAACAACAGAGAATATCATAGATCACATATTTGTCAACATGCGTTTGATAATTGCCACAAAATTCAGTGGAATAATTCTATGATTTTAGCAAAGGAACCATCTACAACAAAACGTATAATTAGAGAAAACTCATTAATTTTACTAAATCAAAATAATTGCATTGCTTCATGTGCATTTAATTTAAGTCATACATGGTTAACTATGCTAAAATCTGAAGCAGACCAGAGAAACATACACCCAAAATAAATTTACACCAACATGAATAATTAACATTACCTGTATTAGTTTAAACAATGAGATTAATTCAAAGTCACATAATTGTTGACAATTTGCACCGACGAATTATCAGACCGAATTTTTACATATTGTATTATCCAACTATTGTTACACCATTTATTAACATACTCTTTTTTAGATTCATTTAGGTTCTTTTGGTAACGATAGCAGAAAATAGCTATCTCGAAACCTCAAGGATTTTTTTCAAATTAATTTCTTTACTAATTGGAATTTTCTCTTACAGCTTGAGCCTAAGTGTGTCGCAGGATACCCTCTAGGTGATAGTTCTTGATTACTTTTTGATAAATAATTCGTTCCTATTGCGAAATAAAAGCACTATTTATCAATCTGTAATAAAAGACGTGAGGAAATTCGGTCTTCTGTCAAAAAGACAAACGTTTTTGAGGCGAAATACTCAACGAGCAGTTTGTAAATTTGTTTCAATCCTCAAATTTGGAAAAAAACAGTCCGAAATGTAAATGGTTTGGCCAGTATCACGCGCAAGGTTTTAACGTGCTATCCTCCAACAATGCAATAAACAATAAAAATTAAATTATTCGAACGGATCCCAGCCCCTGAAAATCCCTAGCACGAATTGTTCAGCAAAAAAGAATTTGATAAAATTTTTAAATTTGGAAAAACTAGCCCGAAACCTAAATGATGGCCAGGATCACACGCATCGTTTTAACGTGCTATCCTCCAATAATGCAATAAATAGCAATAAATAATAAAAAATGCAATTATTCGGACTGATCCTAGCCCCTGAAAATCCCTAATACGAATCATTTAGGCAAAATAATACGCTTAACAAACAGGTGATTTAATCACCTGTGCGAAATACATACTTATGCATGATACATACATGTATGTGTTGGTTAAAAAAAAATTGGAAAAACAGTGCAAAATCTAAATGGGTTGGCCAGGATCACTCACGGTAAAAGTAATGCTAAACTTACCGAAAGCTGCATTATACCACCTGGAAAAAAAAAGAACAATCTGTATTATTAGATAAACTTAGTTGAAACCCCAGTTATTTGATTGGAAAGAAAAACTGAATAAAACTTTAAATGTTTTACGAAAACTCAACTCAGTTTAAGTTAAGGGTTTATAGATAATAGAGAATAATGCTTACCTGCTTTTTGCAAACTTGCGCTCCATTCTCCATTGTCGATCCATTAAACTTCAAAAAACACACGCTTCACGAACACACAATGAGAATCCACACAAAGTTGAAAATAAATGTGGATTACACTCAGTAATGAACCGGTAAGATGACCAACTGTTCGTACCTAAATGGCACTAAATTGGTACTTTGATCCCGTTTATGAACAAAGAACTGACGACCGATTTAGTCCCTTGCCCATAATAGACTAAACCTTTCCGATAAAACTCTTGCGAAATTAAGGTGTATATCAAATGAAAAAAGTCACCGAGCTACATAACATAGATAATGATAGCTTTATTGTCCAGTCCGCGATCAAACTGGTTTGTATCTTTAGCGTAAACAAAGTTGCTTTCCAGTGTAAAGATAAACAAACATCGCCGTTCAAGGGGCGAGTTTTGAAGGCTAAATTAAATACTCGCTCTCGGATCAATCGTTTGTTCAATTGTCTTGAAACGTGAAAACTTTTTGAGCTTCATCTATTGTAGGAGGCGGCACAATTTTTTGCAGATCTACCAAAATCAAAGTAAACCATTTGCAAAATATGCCGTGATTTGTGAATGCTTCACTATTAAGAGCGAAGGAAAATTCGCACTTTTACTCAACTGCGCGCTTTCATTTAAAAATTCATAACTTTCCGTTCAGAGCAAGTAGCACCTTGAAACTTTCACTCCCTATAGAAGACTCATGTGGCTAACAGCGCTGAAATTTCCACTTCGATCGCCTTAAAGTCTGATTTTTGCCAACGGTTTGAAAAATGCGTCAGAACTTCGCATTGAAGATGTGATCGCAGTAGAAAACCCCTATTTTACATAGTAAAGCCACAGCTTAAATATCATATGATACATAAGTTGTGGTAAAGCAGTCTACTGTGGCAACTACTGTTGCTCGCAACGTTAAAGCGACAGAAAACTTAACTTTATTACTGTGGTAATTTGCGCTTTTCGAAGTTTTTCAGTGGTCTTGAGCCAAAACGATATTACGACGCCATTTCGGAAACGACAAACGAAAAAACGTAGTCCAATCGTCAATCGCAGTGCAATCAATGTAGCCAATTTATTGACAAATAGTATAATATAAAATAGTAATATTTAAATATATAAAGTTTTTAACGTGTTTAGCAGTAGATCCTAACGGCTTAGCGATAAAGCGGCTGTGGATCGTCGGTATTTAACGTAACCGCTAAAATAACAGTGTTCCAAACGTGTAACCTGAAACCGTAGTTACAGTTACCCGACTTAACCGGTTTTTTTTTGGAACCGTCTCATAAAACCGAAATAGCCGTGCGCACTTTGGACACCGTCGAGTGATCTATCCAGCTGCAGCCGTTTGCCAATTTAATCCGTTGTTTTTGGAACCGTCTCATAAAACCGAAACCGTTGTGCGCACATCGCACCAGCTACAGCCGTTTGCCGACTTAAAGGTTTTTTTGGAACCGTCCCATAAACCTGAAAAAGTGGTTCGCGTCAGCACAGAACCGATGTAGCATCGTCGAGCTGTATCACTTTTCGTTTATAAAAATTACTGTTCAGTTTTCCAGGAACCAGCGAAAATTTGTTTAGCTGCTGCGATGATATAATTCAGCATTTTTAGTCTATAAGTATTTAGTTTTCTGACATTCTGTAATGAATCTTAAAAAAAAGGATTTCTCTCAAGAAACTTAGCTCGGGAGTTATGTCCATTACCAGTAAACTAAGCAGAATGTACACTTGCATATGAGCTATGAGCAAACTAAGAGTTTAAGACATAAATTCCATCACAATTGAAATGTAAAATAACAACCGTTTTTAGCAGAATGTGCACCTGAATTTAAGCAAGCTGGCCATTTTTAAATATAAATTCAGTCAGAGATGAAATAAAAGTTATTTGAATGGTAATAAACGTTATAGGGTCGACATATTTTTTGGTGGTACCAAAATTAACTCGAGTAATACTTCGCTCAGGTTTGCCAAACACGCATTTATGTTTGTTGTTGGATGTTGGATTATGTAAGGTTATTGTGAAACGAAATGCGAGAGATTATTTTCTAAAGCTGGTGCTATCATAAACGCGCGAAGAACTAGAATCAGTAAAAAGCATCTGCAAACAATTTTATTCTTAAATGTAATTTCATTTTTAAATGAAAATGATATTTTTAAACGTTTTCGCATTTAAACCGTATATGTTATTTAATCACTCCAGTTTATTATCGGTTTTTTGTTCTTTAAGTAGTTACTTCTAAGGACTAATTTTAAGTAGTTACTCTAAAGGAAATCATTATATATCATCACTATTTCTACTATCATCATCATTCTGCATTTTTAATGAAAAATTTAAAAAGTAACATGATCCTTTTGGAACCGCACTTTGAAACCTATTACCAAGGTGAAACTGAAACGTTGTAACCCGTTACAGAAAAATAACTGTTTAGCACACCTCTAATGGATACATACCGCAAAAGTTGTCTGTATTCACATTCTAAAAATTAAAAAAATTGTTTTAATTTTTTTACATTTTTGGCGCTCTATGAAAATTCACTAATACATTTTTAAAACTAAGTTTTCCACGTTAAAACTTAATAATTTTAAACCATGTTTCATTGTGCATAATATGTAAACTGCAATGACCAGCAAATAAAACAAGAATATTTAAATTGTTTTTCAAATGTTTTTCACAAAATTATATTTACCGTTTGAGTGACGAAATAGAACGTTTTTTTTTTGTTTTTTTCGGTGAGGTTTGGGAAATGCTCTTTTATGCACTCCCAGAGCTGGTGGTCTGTCGCTCTGGGTTGTGTGGGACTCCAGCTAAGCTGTTTACCCACTAAAACCATTTCCTCACCGCCGAGGTGGTGTTTGGCCTTGCACCGCGGTCATTTCTGTCCTATTTGTGCCCTCGTAATTTTACTCCCTCATTATCCCTGTATATTCAATGAATTCCAGAAGAATCTTGAGGGGAGTTCGCATGATCTGGTCTGGTGGAATTTCATCTTCATCATCGAAAGGAGTCTTCGTCTACCTGTTGCATATGACGTGCAGTGACACATAACATGCAGAGTAGTTTCGTCCTCTAATTTGCAACCCCTGCAGGGCGGTTGATCGCTCAGTCCTGTCCTGAAGAGGTGTTTTTTGCAAATAGAACGTTACGAAGATTATCTTCTGACCCGACACCCGACACCGGTGTGTTAAAGAATGTTATTATTAATCGACGATCGATAATTGTCGATAGTTCGTGATTACTCACAATGCATCTTTATTTGCTTTCCATCCACCACTAAAAAATAACAAAATTTATAGCCTAACAGCTTTTTGCTTTTTAACCGGAGAAATCCTAATCCGGTTGACAAAATATTTGTGACCTGAGCTTATGAAAGAAAATCTAATACTCCGGTCAAAAACCGGAGACTCGGCAACCCTATTAACACCCTATGTGAAGCTAACTTTTTGTTTGTTTGAACCTTGTTTGAACAGTTAGTTAACTGTTCAAGATAAACAGGTGGCTGCGCCTCAGCCTAGTGAGAAGAAGAACGTCTCCTGTGTTTCAGCGCACCAAAACGGCCGATGCGCATTCAACAAAATAGGATCGGTCCAGAAAATGCTATTTGTGACTCGAAAGTGGACTAAAATGTTCGTTTTTAGCACAGAACACCTCAGGTTCAGAACACGGTTCTCACTACGTGAAAGTCAAAACATTATAACTGTTAAATTTAAATGCACGCATTGCTAGAAACCTAACGTTAGGATCGACATAATCATATTTCACATATTTCTTCGGAATTATCGCGATAATAAACATAATGAAAACTAACAAAAACTTAAAAAATTAACTGAAACACCCAAATATCCAGATAAAAACTGATAAAAAATGATTAAATACGACAAAAAAATAAATGTTTGTGTAAAAAAATATTTTTAGAAAAAACATATCTATGATGAACTTTGTATGTTTATGGTATTATGGTATTATGAAATAAAAATTTGTATGTTTATGGTATTATGCTCGCGTTGAAGCACCATGCGTTTCGTCCCGTGTTACCTATTGGACTCGGCAGTAAGGCTTAGGTATACAGTACATAGATTGGAAGTTAGATTTGAATCGAAACGCTGTAGATTTCAGTGGGTGAGATACACAAAATATCCCCCCTGGTGGGGTATGGGGGTATGTTCTGTGGTGAGATATAACTGGTGTTTCGGTTGCAGCTGCGGAGTCACTTGTCACCATCTTGTCACACAGTACTTGTCTTTATCTATGTGTGGAGGTGCGGAGTTGCGGGTCGGAGCTGCTACTTGAGAAGTGACGGATAGAGCCCGCCACAGTATTCTACTACTGTCAGACGTCGAGTAAATTCCGAAATCCGGCTTGCCGTTGCCCGAAGGAAAAATTAGGTTAAAACAGAACCAAACAGTCGAACTAAAAAACTTCGTTATTAAGATTATATTATTGATTTAATTTTTTTATATTATATGCATAAAGATTCATTGTTGTCTCAGGATAATGGCTAACAGCGACACATTGCCGTAAGAACTTCTATTTTCGTTAAGAAAATAAATTGAACAATTATTTGTTTTAGTGTTTGGCAAAAATTGTACCAAATAGTATCTGGAAGCAATCAAAATATAATTCCTGAAGTTGTTGACAAAGTTCTAGAAATATGCCGAGAGAACATAAGTACTGTTTTACTAAGTTTCAAAGTGTACACCAAAGCAAGCTTCGAGGAATGGAAAAAGGTTTCAGAATTGATGTCGATATCCCAAGATGATGAACTCTGTGGATTTATTCATCACATGAGCAAAGAACTTGTATGTCGAATAATTTTTTATCGCAATTGATGATTGATGTTTGTATTCACTGATTTTAGGATTTGGATGTAAATCTAGCGTGGTCTATCATTTGCAACTTTTTGATTTTTGATTATAATGAAAAAGTTAGTGACCTCAAAGCAATCGTTCGTTATGAATCAAACATAAAGTCCATAATAGATCAACTGTGGAATTTTTACACTTCTGAAAGGATGTTTCTACTAAAATGTATACGTTTGATCTTTGAGAAAATTAACGACATAAACTTTATATACGCTGATCAATTCAATGAATTTTTGGAACACATAGATTTAAAGGAGCTGTGGAGTAATTTATTGAAAACTTTGGAATACCTCATAACTGAAATAAGTGTGGATAAAACCAGTCAGGTTTCCGAAGACACGTTGGAAAAATGGGTTCAGAGGAATAACAGGGAGCAGGTGGAAGTTATACTTCTGATCGTCCTAGTTTCTGATCTAAAATTAATGGACGGCGATGAATTGACCGATGTTATGAAACTATTTATGAGACATGGATTTGGAAGGCATCCACTGTTTTTTGGAGCAGGGTATTTATCGAGGAGTAAAGACGTAGATGACATAAAAAACGCTGAAATAGGTGTTGTTTTATCTCTAATCCATAGATATTGGTAAGTTTTTATTCAATTTAACCATTTTGATCCGAATTATGCAATTTCCTTTTAAGGCAAAATCATGGTATTTTCAAAATGTTACCTAAAGAAGTTGAAACTGATTTGGAAAGATACCAAGTTCAAGGAGACAATAGCTCCATTTTATTCATCTGGGCCGTATATAAGTCAACTTTATCATCTGGCTATTTAGATTACGGCAAAACTGTTTTAGAACTGCTTTTAGACAAAAAAGTATTCAAATCGTTAGCTGATTGCATTACAATGAATCTTTTCCAGGTAATTCTAAAGTATAATATTTTAATGAGTATTAAATTAATAACAAATTTTCGTAGAATTGCAGAGTTGGAGAAATAGTTTTAGAAGCCACAAATAGATTGTTCATAGAATTCTCGAAATTGATTAATGACTATAGATTAATCTATGAACAAGATGGTATTGTCAAGCTAATGTGTGAACTTTATAAATTATCGTATTTACGGGCACTTGATTATTTTGGAAAGTTTTTTGAAATTGCTCTAGATATGTTTCCGTACAAATTAGACAACTTTTTAAGTATGGTAGAAGCTATAATTATAAGTGGGGTCGACCATATGAAGGTATGGGCTTAATTTCCCGTTTTTATCAAGCAACACATTTAATGAATGCTTTCAGATTATGAAGTTGTTACATAATTGCCCGACGTTTTGTACAGAAATGCCGTGGACGTTTAATTCGGATGCCCTAACGTCTACAGAACAGACAAGTCTTTTTACATTTAGTGACAAGTTTGCGGTCCCTATTGGAACCCTCCTCGAAAAATGCAATTGTTTTGGAGAGGACGTTATTAAGTTTAAATACAAATTTAATTTCTTTTGTGTAGTAGAACAATTCATTCGATCTCTAACTTCCTGGGCGGTTAGTAGAGGCAACTATAACAACCAGTTTTTCAACAATGTGATACGCTCATACGAATTTTTAATTGTGGTTATAAAACATTTTACGAAATACGCTGAAACTGAAATCATTATTAAGCCGCTAATACAAAGGCTAGACTGTGTACCTACATATTTCAACAGAAAAGAATTTCGAAACTATAACTTCTTTTATGTGTATTTTGCTGCAAACTGTGCTTTGGTTAAGTATCAAAATGTTGCGTTTTCTGAGGCATTTCCCGGAGTAATGCGAAAACAATTGTTTCCTCCAATACTCAACTACAAGGATGTTATTGAAGCACTTAAGTTGTTACAAACCAGCGATGAGTGTATTTTGTATGGCTTTTTAAAAGAGGAAGAAAGTCTTAAGAACCATAAGTTATTATTGGAATATATGGAGTTAATTTTATATATTTTAAAGGTGAGTTAATAAGACGATTACGTTCAGATTTGCAAGTAGCTTATACCATAAACTGAAAATTGCATGTCTAATTCTAATTTTTGCAATCTTGGTCAAAATTCTCATTCCAATTATACAGGGTGAGTCAGCGAATAGCCCCTCTTAGATCGTATAGAAATAGCGACTAAAAAAAAAAATAAAGTGTGGTTGTTGCCAAAGTATTTTGTTTCTGTTACTTTGAAGTATACAGAATGACTCAAAATAAAATCATAACAGTCAAGTTTATTTCTTTAAATAGCCTACTTTTCAATCCAGGTTCTACATTGAATTCTAAGTATTTTTTTTGTATAATTAATTATTTGTATGTTATACAAATACTATGTGACTGAATTCAATAGTTTTGGAAATAGCGGCGTTTAAAACATGGGAACGCAACAAAAGTAAACTCTATGATTATTTTTTTCTTTAATGATAATAATAAATAATATGATTTTAAAAAAAATATTAAAACAAATATTCTAGTTTTGGTTTGTGTTTTGTTCTGTTCTGTTCTCAGATTATATGGTTTATTTTATTTAAAAAAATAATAATAAAGTTTACTTTTGTTAGGTTCCCATATTCAAATGTCGTTATCTCGAAAACGATTGATTTAATTCACATAGTATGTTATACAAAAATACTTCAAATTCAATGTAGAACCTGAATCTGGATTAAAAAGTAGGTTGTTCTATTAAAAAAAAAAACTTCACTGTCATATTTTTTTGAGCTACCCTGTATAGTTCAAACTAACAGAAACAAATACTTTGGCGACAACCACAACACCTTTACTTGAATTTTTTTTTTCCAGTCGCTATTTCTGTACGATCTAAGAGAGGGTCTCGCTTAGCTGACTCACCCTGTATAACAAACGTCTAAACCTGCTATTTATTATTACGAATTATTATTCCGACCTGACCTTTCGCTCATGCTGTTATCTCTTAAAAATACGTTATATTTTTACCGAAATTAGCACAAAAACACTCCAGTTTCTTTATTCACTACCAAGGATTTTTTTGCAATATTTTCCTTTAAAAATACTTTTTTGAGGACTTGCTAAATATTTAATTTTCTTGTATAGAAAGATATTTTGCATGCTGAAGTGCTATTCAGCGGGGTGTGGTACATACTGTATGTCGCGTTTCCTACGCACACTCAATGGGATTATGACGATCCAGGAAAATTTGAACAGAACACTATTCTCAATAGTAGGTTTAATTACGAACTCAGCATTGATTCATTGATAAACATTGATATTTGTACGAATTTTAGGATGCCTTCAAATATTTGTATACGTGCTGCAGAAAGAACAAAATAAATCTGAAAAATTTGCCCAAAAGCAACTTTATCAATTAGTGTTGAACGCATTTTTGAATGACGCTTATATCATCGACCATTTTTATAACGTTTTTGTAAAGGATAAATTCTACATTCCAAACTTGATGCATCAGGAATCTAACTGGCTAGCTGGGAAAACTTTGATCATCTTGGACACAATTCAGTTAGAGCTGTCTGTTTTACTACTCATTTTTAAACATAGAGCACAAATCCCAGAAGTTAAATGTGAAATTGACAAAAGGACCCATGTATTTGCCAAATCCGCCAGCTGTTACTTTATTACGCCATATAATTGTACATTGGCAGTCTTAGCAGGAAAGTTTCTTAACATTTTAGGAAAAGTAAGTATGGGTAAAAATATCTCATAAGATAAACGTATCTGTTTTAAGAACATGACATTATTCTAGTAAATCAAAATGAGATAATATTGAATGTTTTAGGATGAAAATATACCGATGATGTCTTGCCTTGGTGTAAATTACGACCAAGTTCAAACCCTCTTCTTAGAACGATTAAGAGATCCAATGGAAGACGAAAAAGTTAAAATAAATATCCTTAATATAATTAGCACGTGTATTTTTCATCAAACCGGAATGACTGCGGCATTTTTCAACATTCAGTCAGCAAAAAAATGGTATAATCCCGACATAAAAAACATAGAAGGAGATGATGTCGGCGACTTTATGATGGATTATTTAAAAAATATTAAGAAGGTATTTACAGAACCAACAAGCGTAATTTCTAACTAGAGTATTCAACACCGTTTTCTTGTTTCAGTCTGTAGCATATCTCAAAAGTCCGCTGCAAGTAGGGATTTTAAGGATAATGGCAAACCTTTGGCAGTGCCAAAAACAACATCTCGTCAGCCATATAACAGCTACCAAAGAGTTCTGGATCTTACTCACAGATCCTCTTATGCAAGCTTTTGAACAAGCACCATTAGTTTATTCATTTCTTTTCAAAATTATCGCCATTCAATTGGCTATATCTTTAAAGAAACCTAAAGGGCAAGAACATTTTTACAAAGCAACTGAGAGATTTTTAAACGACGAAACACAACTGCAACTATTTCATCAATATGTGTTCAAGATCTTTTCAAATAAAAATCTTTCGAATCGTGCTTTAAAGGATAGAGAGTTATTGCTTCATTCCTGGTCAGAAGTACTTGTTTCAGTACAAAAGCAACCACAAGTGACGTGTTTTTCAAGTTGTAAATCCAAATGCTTATATGTGAATCTTGCCTTTGAGGTACTTCATGTTGAACTAGTTCATCAGAAAATTCTTTCCGTATGGCTAGATTTTATGGTGGTGGTAATTGACATGTTCGGTCTTCAATTTGATGAAGAAATTGACAAGTTTGCAAGTCAAGCAGTTGATTATGCCAAAATTCTGAAAAAGTATTATGAAGAGATGTCTTTAAAAGACAAGAGAAGTGCTTTAACAATCATACTTAAGATTGTTCAGCAGCTGAAAGATTATTATAATGAAAATCCACATTTGCTGGTAACATTACTGGACGAAATCGGATCTCTAGTTGATTTCGAGTATTTAGTCGTGGAAGAAGAAGCTTGGAGACGATTAAAAGCTGACGATTCCACGGCAAATGAGTGGCTAGGCCCATGGGCTTTAATAACAAGCATTGCAAATTCAATTTTGACAATGAAAAACTGTAATAACTTCGGTGTATGGTTTTCTAATAGAAAATATTTAGAGAGAATGGTCGAATGTACATGTCAACTATTTTCGCATAAGGGTTGTCTGTCATTTGCAAAAGTAGCCCTTTACAGTTTAACTTTATATGTTCAATCAACATTAGCATACGACTTTTTAAATATAAATATGGTTAAATTTTATGACAGAATCGAACCTATGGTAAATAGTTTATTAATCGGACAATCTAAGGTAGGTACTACTATGTTCATACTTTTCTCAAGCTTAATTTATATTCAAACATACTTTAAAATTGCTTCCTTCCATTTACAAACACTGAATTCCGACATGCGGGCACCGCAGCATGTTGTAATTCCTATTATGTGCTTTCTTTCAGGTAAATATCCTGGCTCTGAAGGAAGCCTGGACCATTTTTAACGTTCTCATGAATTTCAACAGAGCATTTTTGCGAAAATTTCAAAAGACAGCTCTGGAAACGTGTTATGCATTTCTTACTTTAAATCATAATATCATGAATCATATTATGAGCATACCAGAGAACACAGTGGATTTTAAGGCATTGGATTTGCTATCTCAGACTCTTATGTTCTATAACGAAATTTTAAGATACTGGCAAATTGAATGGTACAGGAAGAACAACAGAACATATCGCTTTATGATGGTAATAATGTCATATTATTTTTCATGTTAAACGGGTACGTGATTTTACTTTTTTATATTTTAGGATGGGATTAGAAAGGTCATTAATGGATGTATATATCTCTGCTTAAGACCAAAACACATAGGATTTTATTATTTAGATCGTTATATGCGATTGATGGCAATAGATCAAACCCCATCAGTAATAAATGATCTTATGATTTCCGTTATAAACCGGTAAGTCACTATTTAATTGTGATAGTGATATAAACATTGTTCTATATATATGTTTCTTGCAGGCTAATAGGAATTTTAGGCCTGGCATTATCCTGCCTATATAAGCTTAACTCGAGCCTAATACAATTATTTGACTATTTTGAGCCGGAAGAAACTATAATTATATTGATCGATAATGACTTTAGTGTACCAAGATTTGAACTTCCAATACCATGCGAACTCACATATGGAAGACTGTTATGTTTAGCCCATTTTCTATGTAAAACTTTAAATCAGCTCAATCAAAAGAAAGAAAATAATATTTTAACAATTGATGAGACTGAATATTTGCATTATATTGGTCTTGTCGAACATCAAGATCCTAGCGACTACATGCCTGATCAGAAACTAAGCTCATTTTTAAGATATTTGTATGAATATTCAGGTACGTATAAATTTACCTTTAAATAATCTATCTATATAACATTAGAAATTTCAGGATTAATTGATCCTTGGATAAACAATTTGAATTATGCAAACACCCAGAAATCAGCAGATATTTTAATGCTGTTTATTGGTCAACAAGCATGTTTGACGATAAAGGAGTTAGATCCATCCCAAGTGCCATATTATAGGGCAAATTTATGTTCCGAACTTCAATTTTTCCAAGAGTATATCAAGAAACGTACTTCGGAATTATATGTCGAACGCAACACTTCAGCGGTACTTTACACTGGCGAAATGGACTACATAAAGAAGTATTTGCTGTCTCATTGGAAAAAAGATGAAAATGGTAAAAACGCTATTCAGGAAGTGGCAGAACGAAACTTTTTGTTGATAATGACTTACTGGTTCTCAAATATTTGTAAAATTCAATAAAAACTTGTCTAATTATAGTATGGCTTTGTACCACGTTTTTAAAATAAATTTATTTTTTACACTGCCGTGTGAGTATTTCTTAATTTATTTTTAATGATGAAATTATTTGAGACTGATCAAATTTTACTACTCAGAAATAGTGTGCATATGAGTTAAAAAGTGAAAGAAGAAAGTGAAACAATCGCAATTGCTTAATTTCGGTTTGTTTTTTAATTGAATGGTAAAAGCCGGTCAATTTAAATCTAGTTAATACAGTTTGCACCTCAAAAAAGTGCGAACGCGATACAACAATAGGTTCCTAGTGAAAAGCAGGTAACTACTCTTTCCAAAGCACATAAAATTAGTCAATGTGCAATCGACTTAAAACTGATTAAAACTAAAGACATGCTGCAGCCATTAAAATGAAATTATAGTTGAAATAAGACACTAAAACAGTGTCGTATACTTAACTTATACATCCATATGTGAGACGATTCAATTTATACTAACTGGACTCTGTGTCATTCGGTACAGCATAAAAGTTAAGATTGAGTTTTCGCATACTTTGGAGCACTATTTTCAGATACAGGGTGTCATAATTTTAGATCTTTCATAGATTTTTCTCATCACACATTTAATTTCATATCACACAGCTCTTATAGTTTGTTGAGAATGTACTTGAATTTTTACGCCAGATTACATATGATGGTTTGCAAGTTTTTGAATAATCTAAACTATGGTAAAACGTACAAGCTAATATTTTTTGCAGGTCGGGTCCTTGTCTTGCAGAAGTGTTTGCGGAGCATCACTATCCGCTTAAAAAATGGACTAGTTGTCAAATATGCATGTCTTGATGCGAGAATGAATGCGCCGGAGTAGCAGCAAGTGTAGAATTTTTGTTAGCGAAATACCCACATACTATTTCTCTCGTTTCGCTAAATTATGCACTCGGTTATGGGTGGTTCCTATGTTCCTATGACATGCACTTTTCTGTCGCCAGCTTCATCATTTTTTTATTTGACTGTATGCATTGATTTTGTATACAAGACGATTATTTTTTCCACATTTATTACAGGTCCATCAACGGTGATCGCTGGGTCCATTATATTATAGACTTTATGCGCCTATGATGGACCAATTGGTATGCCGAAAAAACGCGTGAAATGTAATTTGTTGGAAAAATTATGATAACCGAGGCAAGTGTATTAAGCGCGTTTAGTGCGTTTATTAAATGCGTCCTTAGCGCGCCTAGCATCAAACACATCCAGTTCACATTAATAGGACTTGTATACAGGGTTGCTCATTAGTGCGTCAAAGTGCGATATCTCAGTAAATATGAACTTTACAAAAAAATACGTGCTACGAAAGTTTTTCATGTTCAAGGTCCACATTTTAAAATTACTTTCCAATATACGGGGTGTATCATAAACGTGTGGTAGTTACCAACTTTGGTTTTTTAAATGGAACCGCCCCTTTTTTCATTCATTTTCAGATTTGTCGTCAAAATTTAAGTTAAGTTTGTGTCAAACGTTTTACCTGAAAAATTTACGATTTCCGAGTTATTCGTAAAAATGTGAAAGTTTTGACAGCTACTGGGTTCCACAGAAATCGATGCTGTACACTACCCGCTGCAAATTTTGGAAAACAGTTTTCAGCGATTCTAACAGAACATCATGATCTACGCGTAGATATGTTTTAAATTATAAGGAAATACTTCTAAACCGCGCAA